TATAATAAGGGAACTATTAAATAAGAAAATCCTAGCCATAAATAACTCTAAAATAATATAAATATATTAAATCCTAATATAAAAACGTAATTTAATAAAATACAAACTCCAAACATCAAGTCGACCACACGAACACTCTTCCTAACTCGAGTAGACACTTGGTTGTGCACGTGTGTTAACTTCAAGCTATATTTCTGACCTCTTCCACATCAAATCTCTCTCGAATCAAAACACCAAAGTTTTAGATCTTTAAGTTGGCTTTCCGTAGCAATACGAATCACCTTAATTCGACTTCAGATGTGAGGGTAATCAGCCGAATGGTGTACTCTGCCAGAATCATACGGGACTTTCGTGATGCATGAAATTCGACTTGTCCAACGAATTTCCCTCTTCCTTGTCTTCCAATTCTTCGTGTTGGATTTATAAGTTAGGATCATATCAATTTCCCCCGCCGCCGCCATTGACTTTTTTTGGTTTTTTTTTTTTTTTTTTTTAAACTTTTTTTTTCTTCAACATCTGTTTGCTCTTTTAAACGGTAATATTGATGTGGTTGCCACTCATATTAACTAGCTATATTACTGTTTAACATAATTATATTAACTATATTACAGTTTAACACACTAATATTGATATATTACCGTCTAGCACACTAATACCAACGCAATAAAAATCACTATTATTGTGTAATAGAGTAATATTAATATGTTGACCGTTCAACAAAGGGCAAACATAGTAAAATGCCAACACAATTAATATTCATGTGGTTGACATAATATTACTTTCAATCACAGTAATATTACTGTAACGACAGTAATATTATTGTGTTTACAGTAATATTACAATAGTAGACGGTAATATTATTATGTTAATCAGTCAACAGATAAAAAAAAAAGGCCAAAACAATAATATTGATGTGGTTGACATTAATATTATTGTGTTTACAGTAATTTTATCATCAACGACAGTAATATTATTACGTTGACTTGTCAACAAATCAAACCAAATAAAAATAAATAAATAAGGGCAAATTACGGCCACCCACCTAAGGTATGTCCAAATTACAAAAAAGTCCCTCTTGTTTGTGTAATTACAGCCACCCCCTCCTTTTAATTAATTTTACATAAAATTTATGTAAGTCGGTTATTTGCCTACCAAATCATATATTCAGTTTGCTAAACGATATAAATTGTTGGCGTACCGAAATTTTGGTTCGATTTTACCAATTTAACATCCCTAGATCTACCTCTGGAGGGATTTTTTTCGTAAGATAATACATAGTTGAGGGGGTGGCTGTAATTTCCCAAACAGGAAGGGGTTTTCATAATTTGACCATAACTTAGGGGGTGGCCGTAATTTGCCCAAAAAATAATAATATTGATGTGGTTGACAGTAAATGTATTCTCAACGACAATGCACTTACGTAAATGTATAGTCAGCGATAGTACAATTACTTTTAGCGACAGTATAATTACTGTTAATGACCGTACAATTACGGTCAACGTACAGCGACGGACGTAAAAGAAAAAAAGTCAAAGCCGAAAATTGGCGGAAAGAAAAACAAAAAAAAATATATAAAAAAAAAGTTAAAATTGGAATTTTATGGTCAAAATTGATGAAATTGAAGTTAAATGGAGGTTACAATTAGGAGTTGCATTTAAAGGGTTGGGGGTAGTTTTGTCATATACCTTAATTTTGCCTTTATTTATAATATATATTAAAGGAATGACTTATTGACAAAAGAGGTATAATCCCAGAATCTAGAATAATAAAGATGATTGAATAGCGATTTTTTTTTTATTTTTTATTTTGCTTCTCCTGATTGGGGATGACTTTTAATATTTCTTGCTTAATCACCGTCTGACATCATACATGAGATTCAGAAGTATATTTTCAACTATTAACTATATATCTTTTCTTACACAATGCCTCGTGTTACTATTTTAAATGGTGCGTGGCTGGACGTCGTTGACAAATACATACTTGAATTTTCACATGTCCATATCCTAATTTGCCGGAATGATGGATTAAAAAAATAAAGCTCGACTAATGCATGTAATAATATTTATATATAGAAAAAATCCTCGTCATACTTCACAAATGTATTTTCAACTATCAACTATATATCTTTTCTTACATAATTATGGTGCGTGGCTGGATGTTGACGTATGCATAGTTGAATTTTCACATGTCCATATCCTAATTTGGCGGAATGGTGGATACAAAAAAATCTCATGTAATGCATGTAATAATATTTATATATATAGGAATGGCAAAAGGATATATGATTAGTTTAAAATCCATTATCCGAAACATTAGGTGTGAAAGTTGTTTTTTTAATCGAAAATTAGATGTTACACCTAGGGCTGTGCATGGATCGATTTTAACCATCAACCAACTCATTTTCGACCCATAACTTGTGATGGATAATCAACCATCAACTGATCCATTGAAGTTGGGTCGATAATCAACGGCGGTCTCCGGCGGTCAACGCCGGTCAACGGCGGCGACCGGCGGTCTCCGGTGGTGGCGGGTCAAAATTGGGGGCAAAATTGAAATTAGGGTTAAATTGGTTAATTGATGAAATTGGGCTAAAATGGGGTGTAAATCATGAAATTGGAGTTAAATTGGGTTTCAATAATTTGAGGGTAATTTTGGTATATATAAAACGATTTTCATTATTTGCAAATAAGTTTGAATGAGTTGGATTTATTTAAAAGACAAAAAAGTTGGATGTCCCTCTTTTAATTAAGTGCCCTTGTCATGGGCCTATTTGCCATTACCCCTTGTAAAAAATGGCAAAATAATTCGATTATTTTGGGCTTATTTTATATACCCCTAAGTGGCTACTAAATTGAGAAAAACCCAAACCGAATTCTTCCTTTGACATATCCTCTTGAAGAGGTGAAAGTACTATACTACCCTTATATGCAATTTTCGGCCACACTGCATTCAACATTTCGGTCTTGTATTTATCATTTTCGCTGATTTATTAATTATTAAATTATTCATTTTTTTTATAAACCTGTTTTTTTAGTTTGTATATTTTTCTATTAATTTTTTTATCAATTTTTTATTTAATTTTTTTGTATTGTTTTTTTTTAGTATTCTATTTTAATATTTTTTTTAATTTTTTTTTGGTGAAATCAATATGTTTACTATACTGAAAATAACTATATGTACATGTATTAAACTATAGTCATTCATATTTATGTTCTTTTTTTTTAACCCATATTTTTAGTCGATCAATTATGTACTCACACGAATACTGGCTTATACAAAAAAATTCATAAACCCCAACTACAAAAAATTACAAATTTCAATATTTATATTATAAATCACCTCAAAACCAATAAAATAAAATCGAAAATACACAAATATATGCATATGTAACTGTAGTAAACTATAGTCATTCATAATTATGTTCTTTTTTTCGACCCCATATTTTTAATTGATCAATTATTTACACACGCGAATACTAGCTTGTACAAAAGAAAGTCATAAGCCCGAACAACAATAATTTACAAATTTCAATATTTATATTATAAATCACCTCAAAACTAATAAAATACAAACCGAAAATACATAAATATATTCATATGTAGCTACATGTTACTAGGAATGTATAGTAATGCATAGTAATGTATACAGTCTGTTGAACACCGTAACTTAAAGCAAATGTAACTTCAACCAAATTTTTTCATACCTTCAAGAAGAGGATAATGGCTTTCATTAAGCTGCAATAGCAAAATAAAAAAAAAAAAAAAAAAAAATATATATATATATATATATATATATATATATATATATATATATATATATTTTAGTGCAAATCAACAAAAATTGAAGAAACATCAAAACACTCAATTCAACAACGATTTTGACATTATTCAGTGTAATTTTAATTTGATCGTATCTTCGATCAAAATGATTTGAAGGACTCCTTGTCAAAATTGAGCTAGAAATTAACATATTCCGACTCAATTAACTTCGGCGATTTACACAGCGAAAGAGGGTTTGGAATTATTGGATCCAAGTCAAATACAGAAGGACAAGGATATATAGGAAAACATATGTAGGACCTCAGACGCTACAAGTTGTCATAAAATTAATTAGTGTCAGAAAATGCACAAATCATAGCCATATAATGTATTCAACAAACACAAGCGCCCACACAATATTCGAATGTGGACCGCCCTCATATGGACAATTGGTGCCAAATCCAGACTAACAACTTAATTTGAGGGACTCTAATCCAAACTTAAAACATCGTGTGGTACATGAAAATTTAATTACATGATTTTATATCTAATTGGCCCATGTTAGTTTATCCTCATCAGACGTGAACATTACACCCACTTCTGGCCGATGAAGTATATTTAAATCCAACTATACTTTTCATTATTTTTCATGATAGGAAAAATTACATTTTTCATCCCTCAAGTTGTACTGATTTCACATTTGGTTTTTCATATTCACAAAAAACACATTTGATCCCTCATGTTTTAATAATTTAACATGTTTGGTCATTTTCATCAATTTTCGTTAATTAGTCAGTTAAAGAAATAATGGACACATACTTGATTATGTTTGTAATAATGAAACATTGACGAAAAGGGTTAAAAGTGTTTAATTTTTGTGAACATGAGGGACCAAATGTGAAACCAGTACTAAGTTGAAGGATGAAAATCGTATTTTACCCCCTCATGATATTTTTTGGGCAAATTGCACCCACCCCCTGAGTTATAGTCAAATTACGATAACCCCTCTCATGTTTGGGTAATTACAGCCACCCCCTCAACTATGTACTATCCTACTAAAAAACCCCTCCAGAGGTAAATTTAGGGATGTTAAATCGGTAAAACCGAACCGAAATTTCGGTACGCCAAAATTTCGTACCGTTTACTGAAATGAACCGAAATAACAGAATTACATAAATTTTATGTAAAAATATTTAAAAGGAGGGGGTGGCTATAATTACCAAAACAAGAAGGATTTTTTCGTAATTTGATCATAACTCAGGGGTGGCCGTAATTTACCCATATTTTTTTAATAGTGCATGGCTGGATATTTGACATTAGCTGCTCAAGAACCTTCACATGTAAATTCCCTAAAGCCAGCTCAAAATTAATTAGCTTTATAAAAAGACATAACTCACAAGAAATGTATGTAATACAACCATCAATTCACCCCTAACAATATATCCAAGCATGAAAGTTAAGGTTGTTATCAGTAAGTTGATAAAACCATGTACCCCAACTCCTCCAAACCTTAACAAGTACAAGTTGTCTTTCGCAGATGAGCGTGTCCCGACGATAAACGTGGGCGTCGTTCTGTTCTATCCACCGTCGTCAAATATTCGAAAACATCGCTTGGAGGAATCATTGGCTAAAATCCTCCCCGAATTCTACGTTCTTGCCGGAAGATACGTCAAGAATGACTACGTCGTCGATTGCGGTGATCAAGGTGTTGAGTTCATAGAAGCTGAAGCCGTCGAAGTGGAGTTGGTCGATTTATTGGAAATCAAAGAAGCAGGGCTACTAAATGATCTCCTTCCGAGCAAATTCTACCAAGTCGCCAAATCTTCGGAAGATCCGCTTCTGTCGATCCAAATCACGGAGTTGAAGCCATGCGGCGGGCTTGTAATAAGCGTCAGCGTTTGTCACAGAATTTTCGATACATCTTCTCTAGGGACATTCGTTGCCGCGTGGTCAAATGCCACAAACGATAACAATCATTCAATCGGCATTTTCCCGAGTTTCGAGTCGCCATCGTTGTTTCCGGGGACGAATCCGGACCAGGATTCGTCGCCCATTAGGACAACCTATGATCCTAATATTGTTGTCAAGAGATTTTCGTTCGACAAGGATGCGATAGCAATCCTTAGATCGAAATTATCACAAGGGACAAAACAAAGCGCGAGAATCTCTAGGGTGCGCCTGGTGTGCGCGGTCGTAGCCAAGGCTTTGATCGGCGTTGACCGGGCGAAGCACGGAGGAGAATCGAGATCTTGCCTCATGTCACAAGCGGTGAACATGCGTGCGAGAACAATCCCGCCTCTCCAAAAGCACTCTTGTGGGAATTTGATATTATTATCACCCACGCCGTGCTTTATTTCTCCGGCCGAAACAACAAATAATAATAATAACGATAATAGTGACGTCGTAATCGGGATCGAACAACAACTGGTTGATATTCTCGGTGATGCTCTCGATAAAACCATAGCTGATTGTGCCGATATGTTTTGTCCGGGTCGTTGGCGCGGTGTAATGATGGGCCCCTTGGAAGATATGTACGGGAAACTAATGAGTGGGGAGGTTAGTTATTCAATCATGTTTAGCGATTGGAGTAAGTTTGGATTCTACGAAGCCGATTTCGGGTGGGGGAAGCCTGTTGGCGCAGGAATCGGGACAGTGCCGGTTGAAAACATCGTAATACTAATGGATAACAAAGAGGGTGACGGAATTGATGCGTGGGTGCAGTTGAATCGCAACGACGTGCCTCTCTTCGAACAAGACCACGGCATCAAGTTATATACAATATGATGTCGCAAACCGAATGAGATTATGTATGTTTTTTTTCTTCGAATATTGAATTAAATAAATTTCATTGTAATGATTTCATTTGGTCGATATGTTTTTATTGTTGAAATTGATTCGACAATGTGTAATGGTTTCGATCACTTGCTACATTGCTATGTGTAACATGCATCTAGCACATCTTAATTGAGAGACTGTTTGCCTTTTGTCCAAAAAAAAAAATTGTCTCTTAATTAAGTCCATCCCCATATTTTTAGTCTAAAGTACCCTCAATAATATAATTTTATCAATTCCACCCATTATGCTCTAACTTCCTTAATATTACACATTGATCCCGGATTTAAACAAATATATCACATTAACCCCCAAAACTGTTTTTTTTTTAGAAAATAATTTTTTTTCTGAAATGTTTTTTTCCGGCCAGATTCCGGGGTTGACCGCCGGTCTCCGGCGTTGACTTTTTTTTTTTTTAAATTTTTTTTGTCCTGAAATTTTTTTCCGGCCGGTCAACCACCTTTGACCGCCGGTCTCCGGCGTTGACTTTTTTTTTTTTTGAATTATTAACAATAACATATTAAAGTTATTGATAAAAAAATATTAATATAAAAATTATTATTTTTTTTACTATAGGACAATTATTGACAAGAACATATTTTATAATCAAAAAATATAGATTATGTTTATTTTAATAAGAATAGATTATAACTCATTCCAATTAATTTTCGTGCTATAAAAATAATATAGATTATGAGTAGAATCAAAATGTTATGTTGTGATATTCTTTTAATATTTGGTTTAATAGTTTTTTAAAGAGATATATGATTGCACAAACATATTAATCGAATTTATTATTTATAATTAAAGTTTAATATCTTTTCTATTCAATTATATCATAAAACTAATAAAATCTAATTCGTTAAAATCGTAAGAATATATTTGTTAATCGTAAGACTTGAATCGGTTAAGATCAAGTTCTTTCAATTCGTAAGTTTTATTCAAAGATTTGAATAGATTATACTCAACTATTGACAATGACGTACTAATCAAATTAACTATTCATAAGTAATATCTTATTAATTCAATTTTATTATAAAAAAATAATAAAATTTAATTTGTAAAATCACGAGATCAAATTGTAAATTGTAAAATTTAATCATTTTTTACATATACATTTATTCAAATATTTAAATCGAACCGTAAAATTTAAATCGATTAAGTTCAAGTTCTTTTAAATTTTATTCTACATTTTCCAATAATTTAATCAACATTATTTAATAATAATGAATATGCTAATTAATAAATCTATTTAACATTAATTATAACATTAATACACGTTTACTTTGTGGTATATACTAGTAGTTCTAGTTATTTAAATCATTCTTGCACTGTCATAGTGATTAATGTTGCTATGCATTTTTCTAGCGACCCACGTTCGAGTCTCATCTGTAGCATTTTTGCGAATTAAAAATAAAAATCTGCCCTGGCTCGGGGGCCCAAAAACTCGGGCCAACCATCATATTTGGATTAACACCCCATTAAGGGTATAAATGGTATTAAATTTAAATTAAAAATAAAAAATAGCCAGATTCTGGCTATTTAGCACTGTCCGGATATTATATCCATCAAAATATATCTAAAGCAAAAGACAGAAAATTTAGTAGCATTGAAGGTTAATTTTGCTTTTGTTAAAGACTCAAATAACATCGAATGTTGTTTCATTTATTGCTTAATCACCGTCTTCCATTATTGATTACAAAGATGGCTCTTAAATGAGTTGGTTAATTCTAGTGAAAACGCGACTGGGTGCTAAAAAGCCCGATTCACGCCCGGTTTACTGAGTAGAATCGAACACGGGTCTATAGTTTAAAAGACGAGATACCTGACCAACTAGGCTAAAGCAAGTTTGTTAACCAATACTTATTTAAATATAATAACTCATTTTGTTTATACTGGGCAAAAAAAAAAAATTGAACCGGACGATCGGTCCAGAACCGGCGTCTGGACCGGACGCCCGAACTAATTTTCCACGCCCAAAATGGGCGTGTGAAAGTGGGTTCCACGCCTGGTTTAGGCGTGAAAACTGCTTTCACACTCCCATTTTGGGCGTGGAAAATTCGAAAATCCAACACTAAAAATAGCCCCAAATCGCGACAAATTCAATATATATAACTACTTTAGATGATTAATTACCTTTTAAATTGACTAGATTTTCGGATTTAGAAGGATTTGTGAGAGAGGTTGTGGATTTTTGTGAATTTTGGGGCTTTTGGGGGGTTTTGGGGTTTGGGTGGATTTTGGGATTTTTAGAGAGAGAAAGAGAAGATACTGTGAACCACATTCGTAATTTTGCTGCCGCGTAAATCATTTCAGATATAGGAATGGCAAAATAATTCGTTCCGCTAGCATATGTGGATATACGATTATTTTGGGCTTATTTTATAGGGCGAACGACAAAAAAACCCATTGTTGGGCTAAATACCTAACACGCAAGTGCAGATATCGCAAACAAGTAGTAAAAGTGGACTCGTGAGAGTCGGATGTCGATCCCACAGGAAATACTCAAATTATCTAATCCTAAGTACCAAATTCTAACAATTATGATTTTTATCCAGCCTACGCAAGGTTGTCAAATTTAATCAACTATATAAATTAAACTAATTATAAAAGCAAATAAACAAGAGAGAATATCAATATAAAAACGGATCTAGGATTTTATCTTCCCCCTATACGGTAATTCATCACCCAAATAAACCTCTATCATGTAAGTTACGATTCCCGATTATTAACCCAGGACACGAAATTACTCATAACCCGCTGTCATGTGTATTATGAGTCTATTATTCATAAACGATTCACTATATGTCTATGCAAACCAATTATGAATAAAACATTAAATAACAAGTCTCGTAAATGGCTACCTAAGGTATTATCTATATGTCTACGATGATAAATGCAATTAACACACTCATCCGGTGAAAATTACTCGAAGGCTCTTCTATCCCTGTTCTAATTATTAAAACGATCTGTCAATCAATTTTAACAATAACACATAGCAACATAAATTAACTAAGTTCATGCGTTAAATAACATCAAATAGAAGAAATAATCATGGAATTTAAACTTGCATAATATTCGAAAAATAGGTTTGAATCACCACATAGGGTTCAAATAAAATCCTAGATTAAATGCTTAGTGTTAAGTATATATTTTTATACTTTATCGTACCTTTTTATTTGAGCTTTTGGTGTGATTTAACGATAATTGGTGGTTAAAAAGTTGATTTATTGTATTTTAGGTATAAATTGAAGAATTGGAAAAGTTTGAGGTCAAAACTGCAAATTTGGAGAAAATATGGGCCAAAAGTGAAATAATAAAAAATATGCTGAAATTGGCTGAAAACAGGCCCGCACGGCCGTGCCAAAATTAGCCTATTTTTGGCACGGCCGTGCCAAATGCTGAATTTGGGCAGAAGGTTCGGCGATTCTCGCGCGGCCGTGCGAGAATTGCACTGATTTTCGCGCGGCCGTGCCAAATCACGCTGGAGGCAATTTTGGACTTTTAAACACACAAGGAAACCTAGAATCATCTACCAAGTTGGGACATCTATTTAAGCCCAAACCAAGCACGAATCAAGGGGGACTTTTTGACACAACCTTGGAGCGAGAGAAGCGAGAGAACGAAGAATCGAAGACGGAGAATTGACAACTCTTCATCATAATTCTTCTTACACCTATCTTTTCTTAATCTATAACTTTTATTACTTTTATTATGTTTTTCGTTATGAGTAGCTAAGTTTTTAATCTAGGATTTTGTTGGAACCCTACGTGGGGATTGTGAACCCGTTTTCTTGAGATTATGCAATTATGATTTTATGATTATTTCTTATATTTGTTATGATTGTTAGTGCATGAACTTGATCAATTTATGTGCTTTATCTGTGATTATTGAGATTGACTCGAGAGAGCTATTTTGATAATTAGACGGTAAGTATAAGAGCCTTCGAGTAGTTTTCACCGAATGAGTGTGTCAATTGCATGTGGTGTCGTAGACATACAGATATCACCTTAGGTAGCCATTTACGAGACTTGTTAGTTAATGCTTTATTCATAATTGGTTTGCATAGACATATAGTGAATCGTTTATGAATAATAGACCCATAATACACGCGACAGCGGGTTATGAGTAAATTAGTGTCTCGGGTTAATAATCATGAATCATATATTGCATAATTGAGGGGTTTCGGGTGAGCAATTCTTGCATAGGGGGAAGATAAAATCCTAGGTCCGTTTTTATTAATATTTTCTCGTGTTTATTTGCTTTCATAATTAGTTTAATTAATTAGTTGATTAAATTTGACAACCTTGCGTAGGCTGAATAAAAATCATAATTGTTAGAATTTGGTACTTAGGATTAGATAATTTGAGTATTCCCTGTGGGATCGACATCCGACTCTCACGAGTCCACTTTATTACTTGTTTGCGATACGTGCACTTGCGTGTTGGTATTTAGCCCCAACAAGTTTTTTGCGCCGTTGCCGGGGAATACGGCTAAATTATCTATTTATCCTAATATTAAATTTGAGCAATTTTTCTTACTTCAGCCGTTTTATTTATTTTATTTAATTATATTCTTTGCTTATTTTATTTTTATTATTTTTGTTTAGATACTTTTTATGCGAATGGAAGAAGAGAATAATCGTAGGGGAGATGACCAAGGGCGCCTACCGAATGCGGCAGGAAATATCGTCAACGAGCAAGAGCAACTTCTGCTAATTAATCCACCACCTCGTCAACGAGCATTGCATGAGTACACCGTTCCAACTCTCAATGGGTTTCAATCGAGCATCCAGCAGCCCCCCATTGAAGCCAACAATTTCGAAATTCGAGCGGGACTCCTTACTATGCTCCAAAACAATGGGTTATTCAGCGGACTAGCTCATGAAGATCCACATCTCCACTTGGTCAACTTCCTCGAAACATGTGATTCGCACAAGATGAACGGAGTATCACCCGAAGCACTGCAACTCCGCCTGTTCAAGCACTCTTTACAAGGGGCAGCCCGAGAATGGTTGCAAACTCGTGCACCGCACTCCATCTCATCTTGGCCCCAACTAGCACAACTCTTCATGAACACATACAACTCCCCAACAAAAACTGAGAGAATCCGGAGAGAAATACAAAATTTCATACAAGATGCCGGTGAA